TTTCAAAAAATGGACCCTTATGACATGTTTTGTGGTCCAGGGTCACATATGGGAGTTAAAGTAAAGGCAGACTCTCAGCCAAGGAAAGATGTCGATGAGTCCTCCTCTGGCGATGGTCTGGACGATGCCGTCATTGTAGTCCATGACGGTCAGGAGCTCGGGGTCATTGCGCTGGTACGAGGAGCTGAACACCAGCCTGCAGATGACGTTAGTGACTGCCCGCATCAGAACCGGGCTGAGATCTGAACTCTGACCCCTGCAGGACTGGAGCTCCTCGCACAGATCGTCTGCAGCCTCCTGAACTACACACACATTCAGCACCATATGAGCGGATAGGAGATAGCAGTTTATAGTTGACAGTAAACAGAACAGCGTGCGTGTGTATACAGTGGATCCTACGGAAGCTTGTTTCAGCCTCAAAATAAAAAAATGCAAAATTCGGACTTTTTCCAGAATTGCTAGTTTATATCACAGTTGCAAGTTATAAAGTTTACATCTCACAATTCTGAGTTTACATCTTGCAACTGAGATTATATCGCAAAACATCGCAATTCTGAGTTTATATTTCACAATTCTGAGTTGATATCTTGCAACTGTGACTTTATATCTCGCAATTCTGAGTTTATATCTCAATTCTAAGTTTATATTGCTATTCTGAGTTTGTAACTTGCAATCAAGTTTATATCTCACAATTCTAAGTTTATCACAATTCTGAGTTTATATCGCAATTTTGAGTTTATATTGCTATTCTGAGTTTATATCTCGCAATTCTAAGTTTATTTTGCAATCCTTAGTTTGTACCCTGCACTCCTGTTTACATCTCACAATTCTGAGTTTATATCGCAATTTTGAGTTTATATTGCTATTCTGAGTTTATATCTCGCAATTCTAAGTTTATTTTGCAATCCTTAGTTTGTACCCTGCACTCCTGTTTACATCTCACAATTCTGAGTTTATATTTCACAATTCAAAGTTTATATTTAACAATTCTACGTTTATATCACAATTCTGAGTTTATATTTCGCAATTCTGGGTTTATATCTCGCAATTCTGAGTTTATATTTCGCAATTCTGAGTTTATATTTCGCAATTCTGGGTTTATATCACAATTCTGAGTTTATATCACAATTCTGAGTTTATATTAGTTTGTGTCTCGCAATTCTGAGTTTGTGTCTCGCAATTCTGAGTTTGTATCTCGCAATTCTGAGTTTATATCGCAATTCCGAGTTTACATCTTGCAACTGAGATTATATCGCAAAACATCGCAATTCTGAGTTTATATTGCTATTCTGAGTTTATATATCACAATTCTAAATTGATATCTTGCAATTCTGAGTTTATATCTCGCAAT